GCGTTACATTTATTCAAATATACATTAAATGTAAAGTAAATGTAAAGTATATGTCACCTTTTCTCAACTTTACATTAAATGTAAAGTAAATGTAAAGTATATGTCACCTTTTCTCAACTTTACATTAAATGTAAAGTAAATGTAAAGTCAATGTGTTACCTTCACGCAAATTTACATTAAATGTAAAGTAAATGTTTTACCTTTTCTTAATACAGTTGATTGGAACCCAAGTAAACCCAGAGAATGTTCAAAATTGGATGCCTAAATAATTATAGTAAGAAAAACAAATAAGGTTTCAGCTAAATGTTTATTTTGAGATTAAAAGACTCCATCTTACTCAGAAGCCTATTTAAAATGCCTTCAATCTTCCATGTCCTTACCAAACAATACAATTTATAGAAAACCAATTTTCTGACTAAATATATTTATTAACTGATCATGACTCTACAGACCTTGGTTGGCAGGTTAAAGATTAAAGGTGATGACAGCAGGCATGGTGTTTGTACATAGGTGTTGCTGTTAATAAGTTTGTGACAGAGACTCTGGTTCTGTGACAGAGTTTGGTGTGTTTGTGGACTCATACGGGCGAAGAAGCCGGACTGATGAGATTAAGTGGAGCCGTCTGCCTCTGTCTTTTGGTAAGTGGATCTTCTAATTGTTTTCTTCCTTTTAGGAAAAATGATTGATAGATTTTGTTGAGGGATTCTGTGCCTGTCCTGTGCTTCAGCCTACAGGGAACCGTATCTGTTTGTCACCTACTTCAACTCTCTGGATGTCATTGAAATTCAGGGACACACAGCAGTGAGGTGAGACAAAACGACAGCTGGTCTGTCAGATTTTTAGCTTTTGATTTTATGTTGCTGCTTGTGTTTCTAGTCCCGCAGTGCTGGCCCACCTGGACATTCCAAACCCTCGTTACCTGGGCCCAGCCATCTCCTCCGGAGCCATTTACCTCGCCTCCTCCTACCAGAACAAGCTGCGGGTCATCTGCTGCAAGGGAAGCCTGATCCGAGAGTCTGGAGACCTGCAGAGAACCGGCTCGAGCCGAGGGTTCGCTGAACAGAAAACAGCTCAGCACATTGTACACGCTGAAAACACACAACGAGTCATGAAGCATGAACTGTGTGGTCAGACTCACAGGAGGAGACAGGATCCATACGTTACTGACAGACACAAAATATTTGGCAATAGAAATTATTTTAAACTTTGAGATTTTTTTTTATTTAAAGTACCAGTCTCTGACTTACCTCTCTCTGCTGCCTCATCCACAGCAGTCCCAGTAAGCGCTGCCCCCCCACTTACACGGAGCACATTTCCAAGCGTTTGACTTCGGGACCCGGCAGCCACGACGGCCTGCATCGGGAGCCAAGCACCCCACATCGCTACCGGGAGGGTCGCACCGAGTTCAGACGAGACAAATCTCCGGCTCGACCTCTGGACAGAGAGAAGTCCCCCGGCAGGGTGCTGGACAGCCGCAGGGAGAGGTCCCCGGGGAGATTCGGGGAGAGCACCCGGCTCCATGCTGGATCTGTCCGAACGCAGCTCGCCCCTGTTAACAAGGTACAAACATGGAGGGGGGGGGGGGGGGGGGGTTTCCTACTGACGCAGCAGGCTTTATGTTCTACCTCCTTCATAATGAACAGACAAAACCATTAAACCTAAACCACCAGTCGACCTGTGTGTTTCTAAACATCTGAACTGGTTTCCTTTAATCTGAGGAGAACAGCTGAGCACCAGTCAATTCAATAAGTGATGATAAACATTGAAAACCAGCTGCAGTCAGTCTTTATCACTAATGAACAGTTTTCAGGATTTGATTTTCAAATTAAAACTGATCCAAGCTTCAGCACTACTTACTCTATAGTATGTTTATTTTTGACCGTGTGAAATAGGGCTGGGCAATAATTCAGTAATCATGAATATCGCGACAGACTCTTTGATATCAATAAAAAACACATTTGATCTGATATCAGTAATTTCACTGGTTATTAACTGGTTATGAACTGGTTATTAAAATAAGCTAAGACCTTTCAGCTAAACAACACTGGGAAAGCTAAGATTCACCTTCATAAGAAAAGCTTCAAGCTGTTAATAAATGACAAATGCCTGCTAAAAAATATTTGCTTGTGCTTTAGTTTGAAATGTGTAAACCAGGGTTTCTTTCCTGTCAGCATATTTTAGCACCCGGTCCACCACCATAGGGTTAATAATTATTGAGTTAGGATGCTTTTACACTGAAATGAGGCATCTAAAAATGGAAATGGGTGACCATATGACACCCCAACAGTTAAAGGTCTGCAGCTAAACAAGGTAAGCTAACAACAAACTTGTGGAGTAAGATGGACAGTAGCAGATCCATGTTTCTACATCTTGCCTCATAACTGCTTAAAAATACAAAGAATGTCAGGAAAGGAAAGAAGATGAGTCAAATGGAGGAAAGATCAAACCACCAATTCTGTAATATTTCAGATATTTTAAGTACAACAAAAGTCAGACCCATGTTATCTAAAACTAATCAATAATTATCGATATCGCCCACTTGCTTATTACTTACTTATTGTGATACATTTTTTAACCAGTAGCCCAGTCCTACTGTGGAAATAGGACACAAAAATATGCAGMAAATAATCCAAACTGTCACCTGAGCCTTCGTCATGTTCAGCAGGTGGAAGAAGCTCCTCTTCCTCTAAAACTTTCCACTAACATTGGGCCTCATGCAAGAACATGTTCGTATTCTTATCCTAAATTTCTCTTACTTTTGTTCGTACRAAGGGTTCGTACGAACATGTCACGTCAGATTCAACAAACTCTTCTATCTTCAGGAAAAGTGTGTAAATGAGCTGCGTAAATTCCACCTGTTCTATCCAGCTGCTCGTGCACGCGAGAGGAGATTAGCATAATTACCACCCCAAAAACACCATATAAGGCTGTGTTTCCTGCCTCAGATACAAGGAAGTGTTCATTCATTCATGAAAAATGACAGCGAAAACTAAAAAGAAAACTTTACGAGTTCACAGATTGAAGTCCGTCTGTCAGAGATCCAGAAAAGAAAATCTGTCATTTTTAGCAGGTCAGCTGTGGAATAAAAAGAGCTGCTAAAAGTATAAACAACTGTGTTAAATCATTTTCATTTATTCAGAAGACACAGCGCTGCGCACCGTACACCCCCCCCCAGCCCGGTCGCAGGTGGTCTCAGTTGCGGTTCTGAAATAAGCATTTTAAAATGTTTTCAAAATAAGTCTGGCACTTTGGAGAAAATCCAGGACTTGCTGGAGGGATTATGTATCCCCTCTGGCCTGGGAACGTCTCAGAGTCCCCCAGGACGAGCTGGAAAGTGTCACTGGGGAGAGCGGGGTCTCCTGCTGCCCCAGTGACCCGATCCCGGATAAGCCGGCCGGACGGACAATTTATATTGTTAGTCTAAATTATTACATTTAAAATTATAACCAATTCAAGCAGAATAGCCTATTGTCAACATAATTATGGAGTGTGATTTATTTTCAACTCAAAATATCTTCAAACTAACGAAATATAAAGTTATTAGTGAAGAAAACCCGTCTGAATAACAGCAGACTGACTGCTCGTAAAATATACGACAGGTCTGGACCACWCGTRAATTTTGTTCRTATCTGAARAAAATCKTAGAATACGAAAACATTGGTGAATGCCACAAATTCTCCTAAATCACTCGTACGCACAATTTAAGAGCAAATCTGTGCGTACGAACGGTTCTTGCATGAGGCCCATTGTTCCCATGAATCATTAAAAAGTATTAAAAGGCACTGAATTCATTAACCAAAAAACACAGCCTTAATTAGCCTTAAAATGTCTTAAAGGGGACATATGTAAAATCCACTTTTTTATCTGTTAAATACATTTTGTTGTGAACTTGGAGTCTCTAGGAAGTAGAAAAGTTGAATTTAGTCTCTGGTTCTGCAAAGATATCTTTATATTCTGTTTAGGTCAGGTTTTTCAGCCTGTTCAGTTTTCTCTATTTTCATGACGTCAAATAATCTGTGACTGGAAGCAGGAGGGGGCGGGGCTTGAAGCATCAGGAGCAGTAAATCCAGCTGCTTTGAGACACACATCAGAAAAGTGGTAAAGATGGGCTGGTTAAGTTAGAATAAGGAGGAATTCAGACTAAAGCATTGCAGTTCCACGTTATAAAGACCACAACTGAATGATTTAAATGTGAAAAAGGCTTTAAAAGCATGATATGTCTACTTTAAATCAGTCTTTCAGAGACACATTGTAAATAGGATGATTGTAATCCATCTCTAATATTAAAATAATTGGTAACATTTAATCGTTCATTTATTTATTTTTTAATAATTTACTGAATGCCTCTCACCTCTAGTTGTTTTGTGTTAAAACAAACATTTGGGTAAAACTGTCGCTGTTTTTTTATTTTCTCGTTTGTGTTTATCATGAAGTTGGTCTTAAATTTCATTTCAAGCGGCATTAAAGAGGTCTTAACAAGTCTTAAATCTAACTTGCCTTAAGCTGTAGGAACCCTGACTAAGGTCATGATGGCAGTTTGTGACCTTTGCCCTTGTTGGTTTGCAGGTGTGGGATCAGTCATCCGTGTGACTCCTCCAGGCTGAAAATGACAGGAAGCTGAAGGAGAGCACAGCTGAAAGCCTGAACTGACTCTGAGTACAAGCACACAAACACATGAYGAAGGCCTGTACATAGTGCAAGCTGAGCTCCAGGCTCAGTGTCGCTGCTGTGGGAGACGTCTGCTGTGACAATCCTCTTCTCTGACGTGTTGGCTGCATGGAACCAGCACCGATCCACAGACTGAGAGAACACCCCTACATGTACATACGGCTGGGTTTTTATAGATGAAGGGAGCAGGCAGCATATGAAGCCATGTCTATTTTTTTTAACGAGTTTTAAAGATGTTGCAGAGAGATTAACGATGTTGGTTTGGAAACACAATACTGCTTTTATTTTTCTTTGTTTGGAGAGTTAAAGCAACTTTTAATTACTCCCATAAATCATGATGAGCGCTTTGACACTTTGCACAAAGAGTTAAAACCTTCTTGTTTGACCAGTCTTCTATCCTGGGATCGAACAAGCTCTCCTCCTGACTAAATATCCTCCAGTATATAACTGCTATGACTGCTTTATTGACAGCTGTTGTCGGGCCATACTTTGTAAAACAACAAGTAAGCAATGTTTTTTCCTCCAAGTGTTCCTTGTGTTGTTTTCTTTGGCAAACCTAAGATGAAATCCACGCAGCTCTGCCTCTGATGCTGGACGCCGTGCAGCCAGGCAGCCTCAGACTGCCTCAGCTTGCTCTTAGTCCGCCGCCGCTGCTGCTGATTGTGGTGCAGATGTGTCCTGTTTCTGTGCAGTGGTATGAAGTCCAGTAACCATGAGAGGGGTCGTCACCTCGCAGAGACCACCTCCACTCGTCCCATCAGTGAGCATGACTTCACCTGCAGCAGCATTTGTTGCTTTTTGATCTCAACTCTTTCTCTTAGTTGTTTCTTTCTGTCATGTATCCACTTGAATTTGCATTCAATAAGTAGACATTGATGTTAGACAGTAACTTTAAGAGTTTCTTGATTTTTAGAGCTGTATAACAGGACATGCATTAAACATGATCAAAGTGTCGGTTTTCTTCCTTGTGTTGGTGAGATCACGCTCTACTGGCAGACGTTTTGACATCTAACTGTCGATAAAGGGATCATCTGTCTGATAGTTATCAACAGTTATCAGCTGTGACACCAGTCATAGAGCAAAGGAGAAAATAGGTTTTGCTCCAGGTTAGGCTAACAGCTAGCCAAACCAGTGCTTAATTTAGACTGTAAAACAACCCCTTAAAAATATCATATTGATTTAACCTTCTAGGACCTGGGGCCACACTGGACAAAAACGCATGCTATGCAAGAGTTTGGGTCTTAGRTGTTAAAATCTGTGATTTCACCCAATCCTTTGGTTTGAAAAGAGGTCACCAGATTTTCCTYGATCTTAGTTTCAATGCAAAAATCACCCAAAACTGATTAAGTTTTAAAAGGTTTATTTAATGTCTCAAAAACAGCTGACATTCAAGAAACCTTTGAGTCAATATGTCTGGCTCACACTGACTATACAGAGTGAAACTTTCTCATTTTATAGGATTAGCCCGTTTCCACCTTCTGGGTGGTTCATCCATCTCTGAAGAGGTGGGTGTATGACCCTTTTCCCATGTTTGGCACATCTGTGATCCGATTTCAATGATGTAATCTCTTTTTCTGCTCTCGAGCGCCCCCTAGTGGCTGCCCGTTTCCTTCACCTTTTCCTGACACCTGATTTTTTACACTCATGATATAGTTTATACCATTTTTCAAAACTTGCAACATGTGACTTTATGTTTCAAAACGCATATATATGGGGCACATGTTATCTTGATTACATTTTGTCATTCAGTAGTAATGCATCCACTTCATGCGGAAAACAAAACATCTTGTTTGTCTGAAAACATCTTATTATCAAAACATCTAATTTTTATGAGCATTATTATGATTTAGTACATGATCACCCAGGACTTAAATTTTTTCATCAAACTTGAGCTCTAACAATCTGAAGCTGGTTCTCACACAGGTGGGGGTTTTCCTCATCAGTTTATGTTTTTATTCTGTCAAGGTCCCACCAGCTACGTCTGTTAGGMACTCTCCTGGCTGTGATAGGTCAATACGTGCCGTGATCAGGCTTCAAACACTTACACATCCCTCTGTCAGTATCTCTGCAACAGGTTTTATTTGGCAGAGTCAGCACCCTGACTTCTGTCTGCAACTGACCCTGGTGCAAAACACACACACTTCTAACAACTCAGCCTACTGTCTGCATTAGGCTGTGACTGACACAGGTCAAGCATATAACATTTGTACATACAGTAACTTGTAAGTAACTGATCTATTGATTACTGTTTACTAAAATCACATTTTCTCACAAAGGTTAAAAGAACATTACATTTGCTAATGCTAAACCTCTACAATTTTACACGGCACGATTTGTTTGGTTTGCTGCTATTTTCGTGTAGATGTATGAGTGAGGAGCAAAGACGTGTTATAAAATTAGAACATGTATCAAACTCAAGGCCCGCGGGTCAAATGTGGCCCACGGGTAAATCCTGTCTGGCCCGAAAAGGGGGCCACCCCCCGCAAAACAAACAAACAAAAAAACTTTTCTTTGTACTTAATATGAAAATTGTTTTTATTTCAATGGTAAACGTTAAATGTATGGTTAATTGGAACAAAAACAATACATTTAAAAGGTGAAAGATAATACTTGTCCACCAGCTGTTGGCTTTAAGTAACAAAGCAGTTTAGTTGGATATCTCAGTAATAATGTCTTAAAATAAACTGCTTTAAAGGCAGCATCCACCATAAACTACATCTCCCATAATGCATGTTGTTTATACATGAGGATTCCCTGTCAGAAAGTGGGAGGGTTCAGAATTTTACTTTAAATAGTATTTCTGTGTTATTTATTTCACATTTAGTTGCACATACAGTACTGTCAAAGTTTATAAGAAGACGTGTTAAAACACTGTTTCTATGCAGGAAATACCAGGTAGAGCTCAGTTTGTGGTGCTCAGCTGCAGCAATGAGATGAAGAACTTTATATTTCATGTTTAGTGTAAGTTAAACATGAAACAAAGTTCACACATGGCCCTTTGAGGGCCACCATAACACTCGTGGCCCTCAGTGAAAATGAGTACAGCCTTGCATCAGAACAAATATCCCTGCCTAGGCTCTTTGTTAGGAACTGAAGTCAGCAGAGAGTTAACTATAACAATCTGAGGTGAACAGATTTTTAAAAAAATAAAAAGTAATGTTTTGCTCATTTATAGTGTGTTGGGGGGACAAAACTTGTATTGGTACCATTCTGTGGAGAATGCTACATCAACCCCAGCTTTCCATATGAACAGACAGATGAACTCAGCATCAGGACACACTCAACAAACACATTTACAATGTAGACACGGTTTGTTCCTCAATACTCTGGGCTCTATGACTGATGTCATGATTGATAAGGTATTATTGATAACTAATGGACAGAACATTATGTATAAAATTACTTGTCTTACCCTTTTAACATGTTGTAACTTTTTTTTAACTTTGCACAAAAAGTCAATTTGGTAATTATTTCATTGTTAAAGCTTCTTGGCAGTAATTCATACCATTGAAAAGCCTGTTAAATTCCATTTTAAATGGTGTCACATTTGTAAGGAACATGCATGGGACCAGCAGTAGAGATGATAATGAGAGTTAATTAGGTGTCAACGATAGCCATGTGATGTGAGTATCAGTCACATGGAGGCAGGACTCAAAAGCCTGAATTTTACCTGAAACTCTCAGACTGAAGAGTCTCTTGGAAGAGAGACGAAACGTTTCATTAAAAAAGAACCCGTCCAGAGGACCTATACATTTTTTTCCTTTTGATAAGAGAGGAGACGTTTAAAATTTATAACTCATGTAGGGGTGGAGCCAGGGGGTGGCCATGGCTACCACAGACAAATCTTTGGCCACCCCATTGGCCACCCTGCTGTACACACCCCTTCCACAGTGAAAATACTTTTAGGGGTGTAATAATCCTCCTGAACAGATGGTGGCAGTGTTTAACAGTTTGAAATATTACCGTGCTCAAAGAAGTGACAAAGAAGCAATTGTGTTCTTTATATACAGAACATATGCCTATGTAATCTGACTTATTGACAATTATTTTTTTTATATTTTTTTAAATTTTTTGTCACATAACACAATACCATTTTATGTTCTGAAGGCTGCATGATGCTCTGTGCCTTTTGGTTGAGGAGACACAACACTAAATCAGAAAAAGTGAAATGCCCCTTTAAATTCACTGTCGGTGAT